TGTGGGGCAGCAGCAGGGGTCAGGAGGTGCCCGCCGCGCTCCCGGCGGCGTGTAACGTCACCGCTGCCTGCGCCCGTTTAGTCCCCCGCCTCGCCGCTGCGGGGTGCCGGGAGCAGCGCGGCGCACCCTGATGCGTATTGATGGTCTCTTCTTTTCTTCCAGGGTCGCCATGGCAACTGCATCCTCTCAAATCCTGATACCAGATATCAATTTTAATGATGCCTTTGAAAACTTTGCTTTAGATTTTTCCAGAGAGAAGAAGCTGCTGGAGGGGCTGGATTATCTAACCGGTGAGTGGGCTCCCCGCAGCCTCCCCTGCGCCCCGCCAAGGGCCGCCAGGCGCGCTCCAAAGCAAACTGGGCTGCTGCTTGTCCTCACCCGTAAAAAGTGCCTGGTCAGCTGCGGCCGAGCCAAGGCCATGCTGTCACCGGGACGGTGACATGTCCCCTCCTCCCGATTGCACTCTGCCTCTCCCCGAGGGCAGCTGGCAGAGTTCAGATGGGAGGTGAAAAATGGCCCCGGGAGGAGGCTGACGCCCACAGGGACCCGAGAGGGCGGATTACAGAGAGGGAACGGTGGATTAACCAACTGCTGTTCTTCCAACGCACCGCATGCTTTAGCATTTCCCTTTTGCTGCCCTTTTTGTGCGTCTCTTGGTGCTAAATTACGACCTCCTGCGGGCAGGGACCTTGCTGGGCCTCTTGGTGCTGCCTGGATGCCTGTGGCACGGGCTGGACGCTGCTCTCGCTCTTCCCTGGGGCGGCACGGGGTGGCCGGGAGCAGCCCCGCTGGCAGGCGACTGCTGCGGGACCGGGACCCGGACCGGGACCCTGCCGTGTGCTGGGAAGCCAGGGGGAGGGATGGAAGCTCCGGGCAAGCGAGCACATCGTTCCTCACCCAAATCCGATTTTCTTCATCGTGAAGCAGATCGGCTTGCCACAAAAAATTAACAACAAGCATCTGTCCGGAACAGGTCTGGGATGAAATGCGCATTCCGCAACCGGTGCCGAGCAGTCACTGGGTTTTGAAGCGGCTTCTCCGCGGGTTGCGGGGTGGGGGTGTCGGCCCTGGTGCGGGCAGCGGTGGCAAGCCCCCCTTGCAGCCAGCCTGCAAGC